GTCTATGAGAATCAGGTATTAGGTTTCGAGCCTTCCGCATCTGATGATCCTTTTCCAACAGATGGTAAATTATACAAAATCATATTAATCAACAGCCTGTCTTAACTCCTTTGCATCTAGGACCAAGCTTTTTGCATATCTTTACAAAAATATAAAGTAATCTTCCTTCCCACAAGGAGATTACAGAGTACTGGGAATATTAACATTTTCAGATTACTATCAACACATATTTAATACTTGTATAGTTGCACCTCAAAGAAATTCAGTTTCATAAACCAGTGGTATTCTAAGACTGTCCCAAAAGAAGCAGTGCCTTGCAAACACCTGTGGGAAGAATACTGAATATAATTTTGGTGACAACCAAAAATCATAAATTTGCATGTACCAATTTATCCATTGTATGCCTGACGGAAGTCACTCTTTGCGCTACCTCAGTAGGCCTCTGATTTAGATTTAATGCATTGGCACCCAATAATCCACATTTTAGCATGTTCCCTGGTGGCTCTAAAGTACTTAGAATGGCTATCATCAACAGGACAATTAATAATAAGTGATGAAGAGGTTGTGGGGAAGAAAGAACCTTTGTGCACTGCTGGTGGGAATGTAAATTGTGTATCCACTGTGGGAAACAGTATGGAGTTTCCTCAAAAAATTAAAAATAGAATTACCATACCAGCATTCTCTCTTCTGGGTATTTACCCCTAAATTTGAAAACATTTATCTATAAAGATGTATGCACCGCAATGTTCATAGCAGCATTATTCACAGTGGCCAAGCCTGGAAACAACAGTCCTCTGATAGATGACTGGATGAAGAAGCTGTGGTACATATATACAATGGAATATTACTCAACCATAAGATGAAATACTGCCATTTGCGACAACATGGATGGATCTTGAATTCATCATGCTAAGTGAAATAAGTCAGATGGAAAAAGTTGAGAACCACATGATTTTACTTATATGTGGGATATGAAACTGAGAGCAACAAACAAACTAGATAAACAGAGACACATGTACACGAACAATAGTTTAGTGGTTACCAGAGTAGGGGAGATAGGTAAGGGTAAAGGGGGCCAAATATATGGTGACACAGAAGGAAATTTAACTTTGGGTAGTGAGCACACAATACCATATATATACAACATATTTTTGAATTGTACACTTGAAACCTATATAATTTTATTAACCAATGTTGCCCCAATAAATTTAATTAAAATAAAGTAGATTCTAAAACACTTTCAGAAATGTTAATCAGATCATAAACAGTTCAGAAGTGGGGTATGACTGCTGAAGGAGCTTATCCAAGAACCAACTTTGCCTTGAAGCAATTTGTCCCGTCCAAAGAGAAAATTTGAGCATAGTTTAGCAAAAATAAATGAATAAAACATAGAACTGAATATGAATGAGAATCCTGACTTACTGGCTATGTAACTTTGATCAAGTTACTTACCCTCCTCTGTGTCTCAGATTCCTCATTTATTAAATGTGATAATTCCTTCGGTACTTTCCTCATAAAGTCATTGTAAGTGTCAAATGAGATACTCTACATATACATATACAGGAACACATTACACACACATATTATTTTTTACATATGTTTGGGGCCATATGCCGAATCTAATTCATTTCATTCCTTACACTTGGTCCAGATGGAATTGCTAGGCTGAGCGCCAACATAAACTTTAAACTAGAAGCATTAATTTTACTTCTGAACAATCTATATGCAAGATCAGCCAATGACAACATAGCATATTAACAAATATATTAGTTAAGACTAATATATTTGTTCTCATCCATACCTCCTTACCCTAATTTCCCGACCCTGTAGGGACCAACTTCTACCCTGCCAATCTCAGCACCTCTACCACCACACCAATATAATCTGCACCCCCCACATGAAAAGCCATACAACGCTTCAAGACAAGTCCTCTCCAGAGACTACTAGCTTTTTTCATTTAATCCTATAAATATGATACTGATGATGTGATTTGATAATATATAATTTTAATAAAGGTAAAATTTATATAGAATACTGAATAAACATCTAAGACAAATTTGAAAAAGAAAAATAATGATCCATCCTACAGTTATCAAAACATTTAATTAATCTATCATAATTTAAACAGGTTGGAAATGGTACAGGAACAAACACACGGATCAATGGAAGAGAATAGAGTGCCTAGAAATAGATGCAAAACCAATATCAGAACTCAGTGTATAATACAGAAAGCATCACAAGTCACCAAGAGGGCAACTCAATATATGTTATGGGAACTGCTCAGTTGCCAGATGTGAACAAATAAGATTAAGATTAAAAAGATTAAAATATTTGTGCTGTACCCCAAAATAATATCCCTATGTCTTAAAGATGTAAATATGCAAAAACAAAATATTAGAACTACTAGAAAAAATATAGAGAATATATTTATGACCTTAGGGTAGGCAATAACTCCAAAACACAAAAAGTGCAAACCACAAAGGCAAATATCAACAGGTCTAATTATATCAAAATGTAAATTGTGTGTAAGGTAAAAAAACAAACAAACAAACAAAAACACCAGAAACAAGGTTAAAAAACAGAGATTAGATATGCCTTACTGTTAAAATGTACAGCTGAAACTTACTGGATTTCTTTAACTAATGTCACCATAAAAAAAATAATTAATTTAAAAAAAGAGATTAGGAGAATATATTTGCAATGTATTTAACAAGATTAGTATCCAAATTATATAAACAATTTTAATAAATCAGTAAAAAAGACAACCAAAGAAATGGGAAAATTATATCAACAAATATATCAAACAAGAGGAAATCTAAATGCCCAATAAAATGCCTGAGAAAAGATGCTTACCCTTGCTATTTATCAAAGAAATAAAGATTGAAATTAATAGTGTGGCACCCTTTTTTATGTTTGAAATAGACAAAAATAAAGTCTGACAATATCAAGTGATACAGATATAGGGAAAGGATATAAATAGAGATGGATATAGGCAAAATGGTACTCTCATATACTTCTGGACACATAGTACACATTGAATAGCCACTTTAGATGGATATAGCCAATTAGTTCCTCTTCTGGACATACTGTCTAGGAAAGCTCTCACACCTATGCACATAGAGACACATATAAGGATGGTCATTGCATTTTTGTTTGTGACAAGGAAGGAAGGAAGGAAGGAAGGAAGGAAGGAAGGAAGGAAGGAAGGAAGGAAGGAAGGAGAAAGAGAAAGAAAAAGAAATCTAAATATTCAGCTGAAAAGAAAGGGATAAAAGATGATATCTTCATAACATAGATTATTATGCAGAAGTTAAATAGCATATTTCAGATCTAAGCAAAATAGCATTGATAAAATCATATTATTCAAAAAAGCAAGATGAAGAATAATATGTATGCATATGTACACCATGGATGGATTTAATGTATTAAAATTATACAACACTGAATGGAAAGATATATAACAAACTCATAATTTTGGTTATCTCTGGGGAGAGGGGAATAGAATTAGAGTAGGGATGATGGTCAAAGGGAATTATGAGATATCTGTCTTGTGTTATTACTTCCATAATCAACACAAAGGCTGAAAGCAAATATGACAAAATGTGAACAGTTGTTATTTCTAAGTGGTAGAAATGTGAGCATGTGTGGTATTATTCTCTGCACTGCTCTGTAACTTTTAAATTTCACAGAATTTTTTATTTTTAAAAAAATAATGAAGAATCCCTAAACATTGACAAAACAGTTGCAACATCCACTTGTCACTGATACAAAAAGAGAGTGGCTGGAGAAACACTGAGCCAGTTGCCACACTTGTTACAGAAGTAAAGACCCAGCTGCCAAAGAGGACCTTGGACTTTGGGGGTGGCGAGAGGCAACACAATGCTGACTTAAGTGGTACTTGGTATGGCCAAGAAGTATCTAGTCTTTCTAAGGGCCCCAGATGCAGAGACACTGTTCTAAAGCCTTGAACCAAAATAGAACTCTCTGATTAATGACGAAAAAATGTTCACTACTACAAAGAAACCTAAGATGTTTCAGCTAATTTTAAATGACCAATCTGAAATTAAGAAAAGCCTGAATTGCAGAATATTTTGAAAGAAAGTTATATTATTACTCTCAAGTGTGTATTGTAGCTCCAAGAATTGTCTGTTAAGAATATTTTTCAAGTAAATATATTCAGCTTTTAAGGTTAAGAAAGACTCATCTGTAATTAGTTGGCATCTGTGTATGTACAGATACATGACAATCTTGGAAACTGCTCTATAACATAGTACACAAGCCCTAGAAAACCTTACTCATGTTAGTAATTAATTAATAAATAACTCCATACCAAGGAAAGGTAAATTTTAGCAAAGTCGTGCCTGAATTGTTGCAATTCCATTTACATGGAGTTTTCTTATACGTTTCAGGTTATTAAAATGATTTGATGTGTTGAAGTGGGGCACTGATTAGCCTCCATTCACAACTAACTGCCTTTTATGATTTCTAAGAAATAGTCAGAAAGTGATGGTAGCTAAGTCCAAACGGCAGCAGTCAGATATAGTTCAGGTGAGGCTGGTGCAGCAGGAGTCACTTACTGTCACTGAGGGTCCAAGCAGTGAGGTCTTCACTCCACTCCCCTTGGGCCTTGGTGTTGACTCTGGCTCTAACTACATACTGCTCCCTGGGGTGTAGATTGTTAAGCAGCACTGATGTCAAGTTGCCTGGCACTTTGATATTCTGCTGATCACTATTCATTTGCACAGACCTCCTTTCAACTTCAACGTAAAAGTCATCTTCTGAGCTTGGAAATATTGGTTGCCAGGTCAAATTTAGAGTGGTCTGGCTTTTTGGTAGGAGACTGAGGCCTCTTGGAGGAGGAAGACCTAGGGGAAACCAGAAAGATCATGATTTTGATACAGGATGAAGGTAGCAAACAGCCCCAAAGGGCAGCTTTACAGAATAATCTTGGCTTCTAGAATAATATACTTCACAAACTATCAAAGAAACACAAGCTAGTGGCCATGTAATAACTTTTTCCTACCCAAACAGAAAACTTTTAAAATAATTCTAATTCATAGTTTGAATAATTGTAATATAGGAATACAACCCCTTTCCCAAAGTTATGATATACCCATCCAATGGATTAAAATAGATAATCGAGAAAAGTATGGAAGGCCAATAAAAATATTTATAATGCATGAGGAAAAACTCTGATTGCAATTTGATAGAAGTCATGTCTACAATTGGTGAAAGATAGGAAGGAAACTGATAAAAAAGAAAACAGTGGAATTGCCAAAGTTGTGGGAATATAGGTGAATGAATGTTTAGTGTTTCTCTTACCATTTGAACAACACATTTTAAAGCAATTTGGGGATTACTTCTCCTTAGTGAGGAAAATTTTAGACATAACAGCTGTGGTGCCAAGGCCAGGCCTACCCCTGCTCTGAGCACATCAAGTTATGAGCTCCCACCTTATGCTGCCTGGTCATAATTTACCCACAAGAACCTGGGCTATCAGAGAGGTAAGAGAATGGAAACGATGTGGGTTTTGAAATCAGAGAGACAGGAGCATGCCACTTTAGTTTTATGAGCTTGGGAAAATTCACAACTCTCTGAGTTCACAGGAACACAAAAGGAAATACCCATCTTCCAGCCTCAGAAGGAATAAATGAGATAATGGCTGTGAAAATGCTTAGGTGTCATATGCTCTATTATCATGGTTTCCCTCCTTTCCTTCCTTCTCTTCTTTCTTTTCCAAGATGTCTTATGTCAATAGAGCAGGAATCTGTGCATTTTCAGTTAATAGTAGTAAATCGATTTTTAAATTTCAGACATAAAGTATTTTCAAAACATAGAATAGGGATCCTCTAATTCATACATTCACAGTGGGGACATTATTGCCCCTACAGAGGCAAAAATTGGTTCTTGGGGGTGTGAAAAAATTTTAGCTATTACAATGGTTTATGAAGAGCCACAATATACAAACAGAACTGCTGTATTAAAATTCATAGCAGAGGAGACATTAAGACAAAATAGACATTTTTTTTCCTAAGGACAAAATTATCTAAAAAGGTTATTAGAGCATGATGATTTTTTAAAAAATTAAGATAAAAAAAAAAAGTTGAGAAACACTGGTCTAACTCTTGGATGGAAATGAAAGGAAGAATCTCTTTCTTTCCACTGGGAGAGTGACCCGCACTGCAGTTCGAACTGCTCTTAGACTGGAGAGAATCAGCAAGCAGATTCTGCAATTTGCTTGGCTTTATGCTAAATAAAGGTCTTATTGATCCTTTCTCTATAATCTTTGCAAATTGAGAGAGGTAATGTCAACTCCTTTTGCTCATCTCTAAAGTTCAATTTCCAAAATAAGCCACCAGGAGTGGTTAGGCAGGCTTACAATGACAACAGAGGGCTGATGTTTTAGAGCATATATGCAAACTTTCTAGGCCGATGCTTCCTACTGAGGAGTAACGCAACAAACAGTTATTTCCCTTTTTCCCTTCCCTCAGGAACACATTACTCTTCACCCCTCACGACCTGCCTCGTTGCTGCCATGTGTTCAGAATGTGTTCTCTTCGCTCCCCCTCCTGGCCTCCTTGGCCTTCACCACTCAATCAACACAATTATAAATAGAGTAACTGCCAGATAAATTAAAAAACAAACCGGCAAAATTCAAATGATGGGAAAAGAAGAATCTTTAAGAATTCTCTTCCCACCCACCCCTGAAAACCACTTTGAAATATTCCAAGAGACCTTTAAATACATCCTGGTTGGAACATATTCTGAGGGATGAAGACAGTACCGTGTGGGTTTGCGAAGTGTTTTATGTTCTGTCCCATAAATATTTTCCATCTGAGTCAGATTATGACCTTCCTCTTTTGATTTATCAAAGCTAGCCTGAGAGGGAATTAGCTACCATTTGCCTTTTAGCAGCAACATAAACACATATCAGGGACCTCTTTGATCACAGTCATCGAGATTCCTTTATCATCTAACTTATATACAATTTCAGGTGTTATTCATTTATTTTTTGTATTCACTACCTGGTGGGTTCCCAGGAAACCATTATTTACTTATGTAATGCTTCTATAAGCTCCAGAATAGCTCTTGAGTCCTATTTGTTCTTTTAAGATGCTGCTGGTCAAATGAAATCTAGGTGGGGTGTGTGGAGCTGTGAGACTCTGGCAGGGATGCACAGCCTCGCAGGAGAGCTAGATGTTCTTCTAGTTTCTTACTAAATCACTCTATATCCTTCTGCCTTTAGTAAATTGACTAAAAAATAGGAAAACATATCATTTAGGTTAAAGAAACAGTGGTTTTAGTTTCCTAGGTAAAAATAATAATAATAATTGCAGAGAAAAAGGACAGCAAGTCCGAAGATCTAGTATGGTGATGCATCAGCTACATCAGCGGTCCCCAACCTTTTTAGCACCAGGGACTGGGGATCCTATGAGAATCTAATGCCTGATGATGTGAGGTGGAGCTGAGGTGGTGATGCTAGCGCTGGGGAGCGGCTGCAAGTACAGATGAAGCTTCACTTGCTTGCCCACCGCTCACCTCCTGCTATGCGGCCTGGTTCCTAACAGGTCCACAGCCCTGGGAGTTGGAGACTTCTGAGGTATATCACCATGGGCAAGTTATTAACGACACTAAGGAGACATGATAACTAAATGCAATGTAGTATCCTGGATTGGATCCTAGAACAGAAAAAGAACATTAATGGAAAAATTGGTGAAATCTACATAGTCAGGAGTTTAATTAATAGTAATGGACCAATATTGGTTTCTTAGTTTGACAAATGTGCCATGATATTGTTGGAGAATAACATTAGAAGAAGCTGAAACTAGGTGAGAGGTATACAGGGACTCTCTGTACTATCTTTACAACTTTTCTGAAAATCTGAAGTTATTTCAAAATTGAAAGATTACTTTAAACAAAGTAGGGTTTAAGAGTTCTACCTCTGGTACTGGCAGAGTGAGGTCTTAATAGACTGACCGCCCTATAGATCAGCAGTCCCCAGCCTTTGCTCCTATGAGAATCTAATGCCTGATGATGTGAGGTGGAGCTGAGATGGTGATGCTAGCGCTGGGGAGTGGCTGCAAGTACAGATGAAGCTTCACTTGCTTGCCCACCGCTCACCTCCTGCTATGCGGCCTGGTTCCTAACAGGTCCACAGCCCTGGGAGTTGGAGACTTCTCAGGTATATCACCATGGGCAAGTTATTAACGACTCTGAGACTCTACTTTTAAACCTTTGAAATGGGGAAGATGATAATTCTTACCTTTTATGGGTATATGAACTAAACATATGTGAACCCGAAACTATAAAGGGCTGACCAGAAGATAGTAAGAGGAGATTATACACAGGAAGCACTAGAAAAGAGAACTTTACAAGGGATCACTCCAATATTTCAGAGGAGGGTACCTGGATAGCAGAAAGCTGATGACCCAGTTAGCAGCAAGGAAACTTCACAAATTTAAGGGCTCCTCAATTAACACAATAGACCAATAGATAATGACTAACATTAATCAATCAAGAAATATTACTACAAAAATTACTTAGAATGTATGGATCCAAGAGCAGCAGCATCAAGTGTTACTAGCAAACTTTTTAGAAATGCAAATTCTTGATCCCCACCTCCTATCCCTAACCTATGAAATCAGAAACTCTGGGGTAGGGCCCACAAATCTGTTTTAACATGCCGTACGAGTGGTTCTGATGGATTCAGAAACATAGAGGAATACTCTAAGAAATAGCTTACGGAGATAAAAGTGGCTGCCTATAGGAAGCAGGACTGGGAGGTGGAGGGGTGGAGTAGGGAACTGCCGTTCTTTAGATAAAAGCCTTTCATTCTATTTGATGTTTCAACTATGTGCATGAATTACTTTGAAAAATTAGAAATTATTTTTTTTAAATAAACAAACTGGGATTTCTGAAGTATGTATGTGGCAAGAGCCTGGCCCTTGAGATGGAAACAGGAAGCTGGTGGTAAAACCGGGAAGCCAACGCTCAGCACAGTTGCTACTAAGTAAATCCCAGCTCCTAAGGGATGTCCCTGCTTTCCTGAAGGCTCATCTGCTTCCTTCTCTGTCCCCGTGGATTACCACGGACACCCCTCCCCCAGGGAGACAGACCAGGAGTGCAGCCCAAATAAAGGAACAGTTTGGCTCCAAGTTCCTACCCTTCCTGTCACTTTCCCACCCATTCAAAAGCGAACTCCTTCCACCTCCATCCCCACCCACCCGCTCACCCACCACCACCCTTCCTGGTCTTCCTTCCTCTTTCTCCTTCCTCCCCCTCCCACCTAGCTCATGAATAAATGCTGTTTGCTTCAACTGACCGATAGAAGCTGTTGTGAACCGTCTCACGGGTCCAGGATGCCCTTCTCCGCCCTCTCCACGCCGGACCAGCTGCACACAGAGCTCATATTCTGTTCGAGGTTCCAAATAGTTGAGTGTAACAATCTCATTTGTCACTGAGAAGAGGGAAAGTCCAGGAAACTTAAGTTGGCACTCTTTTACATTCTTTAAACTTGAATGTTGTTATTGGGATGTGAACTAACGTTTGGTTTTTAAAAATACAATGTCTTAGTGAAACAGAGAGGCAATTCCATCTTCAGGGCCTCACCATGCCTAATATAAGGGAAATAAGCTTTTTAAAGGACGTTTCCATGTTACAATGTATACATATATATCAGTATCTCTGTGCCGCTTAATCATTTCTTCTCTAGTTTTTCCATTTGTAGAGTAAAACCATGCAAATCTTCAATGATATGAAATACATAATTTGATTTAAGGGGGAAAAATCTCAATTAGGAAAATATAAAATAATTTAATTTCTATTGTTTCAAGTACATATAGTGATTGCAATCAAGCTATCAAGAGAAGGGAATCTGAGGGTTTGCTTTTAATGACAGTATAATGAATTTGTAATGGTCATAACAGATGAAGGGTTCTGAAGTACTTGAATAGATTTCATTAACAAATGGCATACGCTGTGTTTCTCCTTAGCTATTGGCTTTAGACAGCCTCTGTTTCTCCACAGATATTGCAAAGGTAGATTTTTGCCTTACCATATGATAAATTCCCAGTCAGTAAGGAAAAAGTGGGCTGTGTTTAAGAGTCTCTAGAAGACCATTTTGTGGATGTCTACTTGTGGAAAGAGACAATGGATTATTACCACCGTATGAAAAAGTTGCTTTTTATGAAGACCTAGCCATTGATGTTGGAAACAGCAACTTAGCAAATCAGCCTTATGTTGCAGGGGTTCTGAATTTTGGGGCTGACTCTACAATAGAATGTGAAGAGCTCAGTAATAATACCATGACTGCATTCAACATACCTAGATCAGTTGGCAGTATTAAGCCCCAAACCCTCCTTTTCTTCTCATTTTTTGTAACTTTGTTAATTATCTGTATACAGCGGGTAGGGGGCCCTTTTCAGAAAAACCACAGAAATAGTGAGAGTAAAATATCAGTGGAGGGATGCGTGTTATCTACGAGCATAATAGTGGTAGATCTCTCTACAAGATGGCACAATAAAAGCAGCACGATGCTCAGTTTTCTTTTTAAAAATTGTGATTTTACATCATTGTGCAACAAACAGAAATGTAATTTGTGTTTTAAAATAAATTTTAAAATTAATTCATTAAACAGTTTTTATGAACTTTTCACATCTTATCACATTTTGTTGAATTATTTTTTTCTTTTAGCAAGTTAGCCCCAGAATTCAGAGGGTCACTGAACTCTATCTTGAATACACTGAAATGAAATCTCTGCTACAGCCATTATTATCATGGGGTAGAGGATTGAGACAAGGAGACGGGATTTCTATATTTGAGGGAAATCTTTTTCTATATCTCTAGCTGGAGCCCTTCCTGTCCACACCTTACCTTGAATCTGCCTCCATGCCTCATAATGATTAACAGGTTTGTATAGAAGTTTCTTGGATTTGATTGGTCCATCCCCAAAGTAAGGTTCAGAGCTGATGTTGATGACAGCAAAGTTATGTCCAGTGTCAATCACGTTTGGGGCATTCAGAGGCTTTGGAAGAACTAAACAGAATTTCAGCAATCAGATTAGTTCTTAGAGTTTGGGGTTTTATCACTGTTCTTAGGTTGGGGAGAGGGTGAGTGCCTTTATATTTCCTCTTAAAGTTCTCTGCTCAGATTCAAGGCAGTTACCTGCTCTGTGATCTCCCCACTTAGCTCTTGCCCCTCCAACCCATTATCTACAAAGTATTTCTTAAAATATGAAGACTCTTCTGCTTAAGACCTTTCAGTGAATTCCCATTACCTTTATAATAAAATCTAAAATTTGTACCATGACTGGCCAGGCCTTGTAGAGGTGAGCTCTTGCTTCCTCTCCAGCCTCCTTTTCCCTTTACCCAATACCCTCTAATCCCATTGATCTCCTTTTAGTTCATCCAGCTAACAATGCACCAAGCTCCTTTCTGTCTCAGGTTCTTTGTAGATGTTGTTCTCCTGCAAGGAAGGCTTCACCTCCCACTATTCTCTGGTTAACCCTTACCTATCATTCAATTCTCACCTTTGATGTGACTTCTTAATGGGGCTATCTTAGGATCTCAGGCTTGTATGTCATACACTCTCACAAAACTTATACTCTTCCTTCATTGTAATTTTCAGAATTCATTATTCTTTGTAATTTGCTGACATTATTTGATATTGGTCTTCTTGCTAGACTATATATTCTTTCCCTCTGCCTTTGGCTTAAAACAACAAAAATTTATCTTTTAGTTTTGGAGGTCAGAAGTAAGACACACGTCTCACTGGGCTAACACCGAGGTGTTAGGAGGGTTATGCTCCTCGCTGGTGGCTCTAGGGAGAATCTGTTCCCTTATTCTCTCCCCTTCTAGAAACCACCTGCATTCCTTGGCTGAAGGCCCCATCTTCCATCCTCCAAGTCAACAAGTTGCATTTCTTTGACCCTTCTTCCACTGTAACACATCTTTCTGACTAGAGCCAAAAGGGTTCTTTGCTTTTAAGGACTCATGTGTTTAGAGTTGATCCAACCAGATAATTCAGAGTTATCTCTACATCTCAAAGACCATGTATTCTCAAACGGGGACGGCACCACCAAGAAGGTGAAAATTGGTTCTTGGGGGATAAAAATGTCTTAGACATTACAATGGTTTGTGGCCTTTCAAAAAGCCACAGTATATAAACATATGTGCAGTAACCTGTGATATTAATATTTTATGGGATGGGAGGAGAGTTTTCAAATAAAAATTTTTAAAGAGCTCCTTAATGGGACAATAATAATCAAGAGGTTGTAAAACACTGCAGTAGACTCTAAACTCCATTGGGGCAAGGCCTATGTAGGTTTGTTGATCAGATGCTGAATGAAATATTTGTTAACTAAATTTGTCAACAGAGAACTCTGTAGATCCATTAGCCTGACCTTCTTAGAAATGTATAACTATTGGGGTTTTTCCTCTACAAGAGTATATATATGAATCTTCCAGACTTCAGGGGACATTATGATGTTCAGTAATTTTACTTTACCTCTGAGTCTCAATGTTTTGTCTCACCGTCCATAAAAATGACCTTCAAGTCTTTGCTCACATAACATCTTCTCAAGGAAGCCTGACTACCCCATTTGAAATTATAGTCACCCCTCCAGCCCTGTTCCAGCATTCTTTACGCCCATTTCTGCTTTAGTTTTCTCCAGGGCACTTAGCACTTTAGGAAACTATATGTTTTACTTACTTATTCATTGTTTATCTCCCTAAAGAAATGAAAGCTCTATGATGGGAAGAACTTTTTTTTTCCTGGTATTGCTCATCGCTGTATTCTCAATGCCTAGAACATGATAGGCCTTTAGTAAATTCTATTAACTAAATGAAAACTGAGGAGGAAGTTGTCCAAGGTCAGGATAACAAAGCCAGTAAGAAGCTTAATCAAGCAGTATTTCCCGACTGCAGACAGCCATGCCAGTGTTAAGTTAGGTAAGTCTGGACATACATTTTACTTAGATTAGTTTCTGAAGAGGGCATTCTGAGAAAAGTGAGTAAATTCATCCATTAAGTCATGTTTCCCTTGTATGAGAAAATGAGACCACCCTGTTTGTTTAAACCATTAAAATGCATATTTTATTATAGCCATAATGCTGGTCTCTTGTGAAACATATACTTTTACGAGGGTAAAAATATTGCTTCAAAAACTTAGTAATTTATCATTATTTTTGTCTTTTAATCATTTTTATAGAAATATACATATTGTAAAGTGCAAAAATCTTATGTGTATTTAGCTCAAGCGAGTTTACCTATGTCACACCCATGTAGCCACCACCCAGATTGTGATAGATAACAGTATCAATCCCCTAGAAAGCACCAAGCACTCTTATGTCCCTTCTCAGTCAATAGGGAACTATGATCCTGACTTCTGTCACCAAAGATTAGTTTTTCCTGTTCTTTATATAAATGAAATCACAAAGTATATACTTTCTTTTGCTCATTATAATGTTTCTGAGAATCATCCATAGTGTAGCAGGAATTCTATTTTATTGCTGTTTAATATTCCATTGTACAATGTTATGGCTGAATTGTATTCTCCAAAAATTCATATGTTGAGATCTTTACTCCCAGTACTTCAGAATATCTATTTATCTGTATTTAGAGATAGGATCTTTAAAGAGGTAATTAAGTTAAAATGAGGTTATTAGGGCATTTCTAATCTAACATCACTGTTATCTTCATAAGAAGACTAAATTAGGATACACACATATACAGAGGGAAGACCATATGAAAATAGAAAAAGATCATCTATAAGCCAAAGAGCGACACCTCAGAAGAAACCAAGTTTTGCTGCACCTTATTCTTGAACTTCCAGCCTCTAGAACTGTGAGAAAATCAATTTCTGTTGTTTAAGCCCCCGAGTCTGTGGTACTTTACTACGACGGCCCTAGCAACCATTACATATGAATGTACCACGGCATATTTATCCCTTCTAATGTCAATGAATATTTGTGTTAATTTTGGTTTGGGGCTATCATGAATAAAGCTGCTCTGAACATTCTTGAATGTGTATTTTTTAAACATTTTCACTCATTTCTTTTGAGTGTATACCTTGGAGTAAAATTGTTAGGTCATAGGGTAGGTGTATGAGTAGCTTTAGGGTATACTGCCAATTCTCCAAAGTGGTTGTACCAATTTATACTCTGGTAATAAAGCCTAGTATCTATTTTTTTTTGTCATATTATGATTAAAGGCATTGATTAATTTACCTAATATCTATTTCCATTTTATAGATAACAATCAATATGACAATGAGGAGGCATCGGTGACTTGGAACTAGAAATGTATCTATGCATTGACATCACGTGCTGTCCTTTATTAATAAAATAAAAATTAGACCTGGTGACTCCCCTGAATCTTGGCAACATAGTTTTTCTACTTATTATTTATTTTTCGTAGATAGCAGATATTCCAAGAAGCTTAAAAATAAGATAATTTATCTTGTCTAAATATCATTTCCTTTCTTTCAAGAACATGCAAGATACAAAAAAATTATTTTGATCATGTGAATGTTCTGAATAAAACATCTGGAATTTTTCCAGTAATCCAAAAAATATTAAGGATTTTGAAGTGATTTACATGGATTCCCAGGGCACAGATCCAAATCTATGAGGCTCTATTTATGTTACTATTGTGATTGAACTTTTTTTTAAAAAGATTATGTTCTGGGTATTTACATTCATTTCATTTGTAGAAATTACCTCTGTGTTCTCCCAAATATTTCTAATTAAGTAGTGAAGTGGGTCAAATACAAGTCGGTTTTGGTCAACTTGCTTCCCCATCAATAATACAAGAGACTCAGAAAGCAAAAGAGTCTAGAAGAGACAGTGCAGGATTTGGAGTCAGGAGACCCAGGTTCAAAACTAAGATTTGCTGCTTACCAGGTGTTGTACCTTAGAAAAGTTACCTAAACGCTCTGATCCTGTTTCTTGACTGCTAACGTGGAGATAACATCCGTTGCACAAAGATCTTAAAAAGACTAAATAAGGTGAAGTGTGTGAGGCACTTAGCCCAGTGCCTATACAAGAATATACACCAGAGAGCTGTTAGGTATATATAATGTTAGGTATATATTTTTGTCTAACTGGATTCATAAGTAACTTCCAAATTTAAAATTCCTTGTGTATCTATGTACACCAGCCAATCTTACTTGAATTTACCTTTACTTTATTTCTTCTCAAGTTATGAATTTACATTCACCCACTTAGATTAATTTGAATTTTGAGATTTTCATTCACAGCAGGAGGAAAACTCACAACACTGAATATATGAAAAAAATCACTCATGTTAATTATGTAGCATAGCCTGGGCTCTATGTTAAGTGAGTAATCCTCAAAAGAATAATTATTATTCATTATTCTCTGCAATAATGAAAAAGAAGTTACAAAAATGATGACGTTAAACTTTTTATGAAATATAAACACAAACAGACATGTAGCAGACACAATTCCAAATATTTTATATACTTAGCATATCTTCGCAATAACCTGAGAGGTAGAAAAACTAAGCTTTATTCACAAATAAAGAAAGGTTGAGAGAGGTTAAATTAATTTGCTCAGTGCCACATACAAAGTTACTAGCGACTAGGGACAAACATCAAACCCAGGACTACGTAACTCCGAAGGTGATACACTTAATCTCCTTTTCATTTTCAAGCACATAAAATGTTTTTAAAGGGTTCATATGCTGAAAAATAGCCAAAAGGCATTTTAGTGGTCAAATAACATTTCTATCTAGAAGCAGCACCCAGCGATACATAAACACCGCACATCAAGGATATGAGCTCTTCCTCTGTAAAACAGAGCTTACCTTTAACAGAAATGTTGAAAGGCTTTTCCACCATCCCAGCCACGGTGTTCACACTGCAGACCCAGACTCCTGAGTCAGGGGGGAGGATCCGGTGGATGATAAAGGTGGCCACTGAGAGGTGACCTGTATGGTTAAAGTCTTTTGGCTGGAAAGGTCAAATACAAAATAAATAAATAAATAAAAGCTTCTAGGAAGGCATAAACACAAAGGTCCATAACATTGACACCATCTCATTGTTTAATAAGAAGTTTTCTAGGCGAGATTAAGAAGTTCAATGCAATGCTTGTATAATCACTGGCTTATTTCCAAAGCCATTGTGGCAGCCCTGAAAGTTTACATTGGATTGATGCCCTCACAGATCCTGTGTTGTATTTGTGCGTTTGGGAGTGTGGGGGTAAATACTTACAAGCAAGGAGTCTAATTCCTTTAAACTGCTTCTGGTAATATTTGCTTCTTTCTGGTCTAATACAGAGATGGCTGGGTGAGAGGACAAAATGGCTTCCTAAAATGTTTGAGGGGTTGTCAAGTGTGGTATTGTGGGAAAAGCCAGGGCTCTGAAGACACATGGACCTGAATTCACATACCAACTGTGCCACTTTGTCCTATTCCTTAGTTACTTAACTTTACTCAGCCAGTTTTCACTTCTGCAAAAAGGGGACAGGTAATGTTAGGAAGATGCCGTATATAGTATGGTCAGCCATTGTTAGATGGTAGGTGTTACTTCCATTAATTCATGGAAAGGCCAATAGGATTATGGAGGCTGTTGGTTGGTTTCTACGACCCAATGAGTGAGTGGAATCAGGAACATCTGATGTGTGCACACTGGCAATGGCACATTCTACATATCCTGCCCCCAAGAGGTCCCTCAGATCTACCTTTTTGTCAAGTTTTTAGTCATGTTTGAGAGAAATAAACTAGTTTTTAATCTTTAGATAAGAAAATACTCCAGTGTCTGAGGATCACTTGTGACACACTGAAATTTGAGGTAGCTTCTGTCTCTGTTGCATTTGGGATGATGGAAGAGAGAGATGGAAAATATAATGGAAAAGTAGCTTAGTCTTTTTTAGCAAAGAAGAACTGCTGTGGTAGTGTCCTAACCAGTTTTGAGCACAGGGCAAAGTGAAGCGGTAGAGTGATCCAAGAAATGCATTCAGACCTAGAGGATTCTATGAATCATGGTTTTTGAATTGGAGACATGGGAGCAGGTCTATCTAGAGTCAAATGGGTTATGCTGTACTTTCTTCTCCTTTTTGTCAAAGCTAACAACACCCTAGCCAAGGAGGATGCAAACCCTAAGTGGAACCTAGTCTTAGGTGGGGTTATTACTACACTGAAAGTATCTAGTGGTGTCAGGAGGGCAGATTAAGAGTAACTTACATGGAGCACAGTCCCATCTGGTTTCACCAGAGTCATTTCTTCATTAGCAGGTAGTGGCCAGCCTGATGCTTTGCAGATGGGGTTAAATTTACCACTGTTTACTTCTATGTGATCTGGCAAATCCTCTATCTTTGGGGTCATCCTTGGCATGCCTGAGTGAAAAAACAGCACTGTGAAATCTAATCTCTTACACAGCAGTAGTAATAGTAAAAGTAGCTACCATTTAACAGGTCATGCATGGACAAGAACTTTGCAAATTTTTGTTTTATCATCACATAATAAACTTGTGAGGCAGGTGCTACTGTGGTCTCCATTTTATAGATGAGGAGGCTAAGTTTCAGAGCCCAGATTCAAGCTTAGATCTTTATGAATTCAGAGTCCACACTCTTCAACATAACGTGTGCTCTCTCAGTGGACCTGGATACATAGCCTCAATATTAAAATGATCATCAGGGCCATATCTCCCTTGGCCTTACTTTTAGCCCATTTCTTGCTTTTTAAGAGAATTTTTACAAAAACAAAAGTAAAATACAAAAACTAGTTTTTCTTCCACTCAGGAAAGAACCCATAATATTGCGGATCAACAACACGATTGTCAGTTTTGATATATGAGAGATATGGGAAGTGTGCAAATGGCAGATGATTAATCATATTCATATTCACATCCGGGAAGTAAAGTGGAATATAATACCCCCAATCAATTTCTAGTCAAGAGCCATATCAAAAATGCTGCTGCCAATATTGAAAGAAGAAAAAAAGTGCCTCTGGTAGCAAAAAAGATATCAGGATTGCTTGCCTAATATCTGCAGAGTAGAGAATGAATAATTCTTAAATATATCAATTTTTTTCTGAAATATAGAGTCTTAGAAAACCTTGGACCACCTGTAGCTAAATGTGAGACATGGATGAAAACAATACAACACATTCTTTACTGGGAGACGGAGGTGCTCCCAAGAGCAGCTGTCACCTGCTATTCCATATCAATGGTGGGAGAAGATGGGGTCAAGGTAAACACATCAATATTGATAGTTTATATTGATATCCTATTTCTCAGGACTAGAATAAAACAGGTAAAGAGTGTGGATCAGGAGGGGAAAAAAAGGTCTAATAACTACAAAGGTATGTCCTTGATATATCTGTAAACTTGGAGAGACTATGATTAGAAAATTTATCAAATTTTTCAGTTTAAGTAGTTATTCATGTAGGAATTTTAAAAGCACTTTGACACTTTTGGACCATTTCTTTTCTTCACTGTCCCCTTACATTTTCCGCAGTTGGATGGAGGTCACGTGGATATGCAGGTAGAGGGTAGAATGGTCTTAGGGAGGGGTCCCCAAACCCCAGACCACAGACCAGTACTGTCCATGGCCTGTTAGCAGGAGACGAGTGGTAGGCCAGCGAGCGAAGCCACTCCCTAGCACTAGCATCACCACCTCAGCTCCATCTCAGATCATCAGGCAGTAGAGTCTCATAGGAGCACCGGTCCCTGGTGCCAAAAAGGTTGGGGACCGCTGGTCTTAGAGAAAGGGGACTACTCTCTAGAAGCTTGGGTCCTAGATCTAAATCTGAGATTCTCACACCTTTTGTGACATCGGCCTTAGAAAAGAAAGGAAGGAGTAAAATAGAAAATTCACATCTAAAACTTGTTAGTTGTCCATTTTCAATCCATTCCTCTGATAGTCCCAAGCATTTCTTTGCCTTCCTAGACCCTCCCAGAGTCCTGCTCTGTAGCAAAGTCCAAACACTGGGGAAAGGAGAGAAAATGAAAAACTGATAAGTTAAAGCCTTTGAGAAAACAACTGTTGGTATTCTCCACCCCTCCCCAACATTAGTTCTGATTTTTTAAACTCACAAAGAAAAGGCTATAAAGAACTTATTATATTGAATGTAGATTTCATCGGATGTGTGTTTCTTTCTATAATATTTCTATTTATTTGACTTTTCAATAACATATGTGTATTATTTTTAAGTTTTTGAAAATATGCTTCTTTTAATTTTAAAAAAGTATATTTTAGGGCAGGGATTGGCACACTTTTTTCTGTATAAGACCAGAGAGCAAATATTTTCAGCTTTGTTAGCTATAAGTTCTCTGTGGCAACTATTCACCTCTGTTGTTGTAGTGTAAAAGAGCCATACACAATATATTGTAAACAAATTGATGTGGCTCTGTTCCAATAAAATTTTCTTTATGATAACAGATGATGGGGCACTAAAAAGGAATTAAATTACTGACATATGCTACAACATAGATAAACCTCAAAACAATATGATAAGTGAAAGAAGCCAGCGTCAAAAAACCACATCTTGTATGATCCCATTTATAGTATATAAAATGTCAAGAATAAGCGAACTTGTACAGAAAGTAAATTAATGGTTGCCAAGGGCTAGAAGAAAGGGAAAATGGGAGTTACTGCTAACAGGTACAAGATTTATTTTGGTATTATGGAAATATTCTAAAATTAGATTATGACCATGGTTGCACAACTCTGTAAATATACTAAAAACTATTAAATTATACACTTTAAAAGGATGAACTTCATGGTTTAAAAATTATACTTCAATAAAGCTGTTAAGAAAATCGTGGGCCAGATACAATCTTTGGGTCAGTTTGCTGACCTCTGCTCTATGGTAATTTCTGAACTAGAATTTTGTAACTACTCATTTTGAGGGTAACCTTTTCTATTCCTTAATTTATATTTTTCTTTAAAAAATAGTATTTGTCCAAATTCTTCCAAAGTAGTTTTTCCCCATTGTGTATATCCAGGAAAAAGCCTGGTCCTAGAAAAGAGAGCACAGGAGGTAGGCAGAGCTCTCAGCTGACCAGTCATCACTTAATGTGCTACAAAAAGCACATGGTTTATTCCTAGAGGAAAGGGAAATTAAAGGCAATTTGAGGGTCCACAGAAAGGAAACAGAAAGCTGTCCTTTAGGATTTGGGATATATTCTTCCCAGCTTCTGGATGGAAACAGAAGTGGTTTGAGAATCTTAGGATACTGGGGCAAGAAAGACACCAGCAAAGCTTGGTTACGACATGCTGAAGATGGCCCTGACTACAGTGTTACCTTGCTTTACCTTCTTTCTCACACTGGAGCCCTTGGCGTCCTGGAGAGCAGAGGCATCCTTGGAACCGATCACACATCTCCCCATTGGTGCACCTGCACCTGAGCTTACAGTCTGGCCCATAATAACCAGTCTGGCATGCTGTAAATAAAGACATCAAAAACCAATGTTGATATAGGAAAAGGGAGAAAACTTGGACCATAGGTGACTAGTTTCATTTTTCTCTCTAATCGAACTTGCTAATTCATTTAAGGTAGCATGTGATTCATCTGCATATTTACCTTAGTGGCCAGAAACTTAAAGGATTGGGGAATTCTGCTTCCAGGAGAGTTAATAAGCTCTTCCCAGGTCAACTGTCTCATAAATAACAACTGTATTTAAAAATCAACAACATGAAAGCACTGTAGAGTTGGGGAGAACCAGGCAGGTTCTAAAGGGGAATTTAAATTTTGAGGATGGGAATGGTGTGCTTCTCATTTTTCAGGTTTTACTCTAGTGGTTGAGTACAGTTGATATCATGTGGGGAAACTAAAATTCCAAAGAATACCTATGGTCTTACTGACCTGAAAAACCGGAGGACAGTTAGGGCAACCACAGCCCCTGGAAAGCAAGAGGGAAAATCTAGAAAGGCCAGAGAGAGGAAGTCCCAAATGTTTGGCTGGCCCCTCAACCACACATGCTAAGTGCAGAGTCAAAGCAGCTCGACTAAGGGTAAAAGTATTAAACTGAGTTTGAGCTGATGCGTAAGAGCCAGAGCTTCCAGTTTGGGTCATAGCCAGTTGATTGCTTGCAAAAACATAACAAGACAAAATTAACATTTCTCAAAGGGATAAATCATATTCCAGAGACTCCTCAATGTAACATTCACAATGTCCAAGATACAATCCCAAATTACTCAACAAAAGATGAAATGGAGAATTATGACTCATTCTCAGGAGAAAAGAAAAGCAACAGAGACCAACCTTGAGGTCTCTGATGTAAGAAACAGCAGACAAGAATTTTAAAGCAACTGTAATAATTATTCTCAGTGGGGTAAAGGAAAATATGTTTACAACAAAAGAAATAATTATAAATCTCAGCAGAAAAATAGGAACTAAAAAATAATGAAAGAGACATTCTAGAACTGAAAAACACATTATCTGAGATAGAAATACCACTGTATGGACTTAGCAACAGAGTAGAAATGACAGAAGAGTCAATGAATAAAGCTAGATCAAAAGTTAACCAATATGAAGAACACAGGAAAAAAGTCAGAAAAAAAATATTAGAGTCTCAGACCTAAGGGACAATATCAAAGATTCTAACATACATGTAATTGGAGGTCCCAGAAAAGAGTCTGAGAGAACACTAGAATATTTTGGTTCATAAAATCTTAGTGATATCTTGAACCAGGCATGAGCCAGGATGAGTTATTAAATGTACCCTTATAAACCTGGATCTAGAGACACCACTCACTGTAAAGCTGATGAAACTTATGTTCTAGACTCCTCACAATGCCTATCCCCATTCCTGGGCCTTAGCTAAGTGTTCATATATACATATGTTTTTGTTTTTTTAATTTGAATGTGATTTTTTAATATTCTTATTTTTAAAAAAAGAGGAACTGGGATCTACCCCTACCTGGAGGCACATTTTACTTTAACATATACATTTCTGAGGCCAGGTGGGATTCCTTCACCGCTGTGTCTCCCTCAGTGTTCTAGGGGGGCAGATATAGACAGCTCCTAGAGGGAACTGATGAGGTTTTGCAGGTAGCAAGAGCTTACTTTTGTGTAACTCTCCTCTTTGCCCTCTTATTCCAGCCCCCTAAAGCTCTGCTGACCAGTATGGTAGCCACTAGCCATGTATGGCTATTGAGCATTTAAAATATACTAGTCCAAATTGAGATTTCAAAGACTTAGTATGAGAAAAGGAATGCACGACATCTCATTAATACCTTTTTCTATTGATTACATGTTGAAATAATATTTTTGATATATTGGGTTTTAAAAGTATTAAAATTATTTCACCTATTTTACTTTTTAAATGTGGCTACTAGGAAAATTTAAATCACATATATGTCTTGCTTATATTTCTACTGAACTGCTCTGCCCTAGAGCATTGTAAACAGGTTGCTGGGGACCCCATCATAGCTCCCTATAGTGCCAGATGTGGAAAAAAGTTGATTTTGTGAGGTAAATAATGAAAACCCTTTGAGCTCTGGCTAAGTCACCGCATTAACATTCATTAGGAAAGATCTGGCATTTTTGGCTACAGGTTCATGTTAAGTTACTGTGTGAGAGTAGATGTGAAATGCATACTGGAAAGTAGAAGGGGAATACATACCTTTGTGCTTTATCAAATGGGAAGTATATTTTAGAAAGGGCAGAGGGAATCCTCGAGTAGGTAAAATTAGTACTGCATGAGTAAGGTCCATGGAAGATAAGATCTTAACTTTCTAGATTTTCAAATCTCAAATCCTGTCTGGATCTGACCTAAAAGCTCTGATATTTATGACGCACCAAAAGAACGAATCTTCTAGGGCCTTCCAACTATAAGTGTGGTCTGAAAACTAACAGCGTCAGCACCGTGTGGGAGCTTATTAGAAATGCAGAACGTCAGGCCCGAGTCCAGACCTATGAAATCAGAATCTGTGCTTTAATAAGATCCCCAGGTGATGTGTAAGAAGAACTTTTCCATGAGGTCCAGAGTCTTAATGTAAAAGCATAATTAACTTTGGATGAAAACATCCATGATTCAAAATGCTGTAGCTCAGCAATGGAGAACTAAGAGTCCAGGTATATCTTAACTTACACTGTGATTTCCAGCAAACCAGACCTCTTTGGCATATCTGCTAGGACCTTTTTGGTTCAGGGGTGTGGTTGGTGCGTACCTTCATTGCACTGCAGACCCTTCCAGCCTGTGGCACAGGAACACCCATAGGGGTCCGGGAGGCAGAACACATAGGACTTGCATCCCTCTGGTCCACTACACCTTTCTTTACAAGTTCTGCCAAATGTGTGCAGTTCACAAGCTTTAGAGAGGAGAAAAAGATGATTCAGAGTCAAATATGCAACTCCTTGAAATGCATGCTTCTTCTTTTAAAAGGTCTCTCCTAGACCGGTGAACATGGATCATAATCCAATCTCAGCTGGGTGAATATACCCTCGAGGTCCATTTTACAGAAAATGAAGCTTCCCCACAGAGAGGACATCAGAGTCACAGCCCACAGTGATGCAGGTTGTGTGCCGCACAAACTTAGGGAGCGACACTCACATCGTAGACATTGTAGTTTTGTATACTTATTACAACTTTCAATGGTTTACAATAAGGGCCCCTTTTTTTCTAATTCACATGAAAGTACCACATGCCTAACAGTGGCCATTTAGCTTCCATTCCCAACTCTGTCCAGATATAAAATTCTAGATCCAATGATGGCTTTTTAAATCTACAACTTACTCATCAGATACTCTTGACTTACCCTTCTCACATGTTCTCCCCATAAATCCAGGAGGGCAAATGCATTCCCCAGTGTCTTCATGGCAGACACCATTGTTCATACAAGTGGTGCAGACACGGTTACATTCAGGTCCCCACTTCTGAGCTTCACATCCTTTTATTAAGAAAACAATGCTGTGGTGAGTAGAACACATTGACTCAACAAACCTGCTACACGTCAGTCAGTCTTTTTAGCAGACACTGGAGGATGAAGATAAAATACAGTCTCTGCTCTCTGAAAGCTAAGAGTTGAATGTGGGAAACAGACGTGTAAATAGGAAATGATAGAAACAAAGACAAGGAGTTAATTCTGTCTTGGAGATGGAAGAAGGTATAATGGAAGGCCTCCCAGAGGAGGTGGTTCATGAGCTGAATCTGCAGGATCAGAGCAAAGGAGCAAAGAAGATAGGGCTGCAGAGTGCGTTCCAGGCAAAGGCAAGGCTGAGGAGAGAGCATGACATGCTGGCAGAGCTGCAGGTGTGGTTAGAAACTAGAACAGTGGTTTTCAAAGTGTGATCCTTAACCAGTAGTACCTCCATTACCCAGGAATCTGTTAGAAATGCAAATCTCAGATGCCCCACCCATGACCTACTGAATGAGAAACTCTGGAGGTGGTTTAGCAATCTATGCTTAACAAGTCCTCCAGATGATACTGATATATCTCAGAGTTTGAGAACCTCCGGTCTAGAGTATGTGGAGAAGAAATATGGCTAAAAAGGGGAGCAGGATCTAGTAGCATCTACCTATTTTTCAGGTAGAAAACATATAAGCGAAACAAGATATAGAAAACCTAGAGTACAAGGATGGTAAAATGCTTTTAGATTCATATGTCCCAGCTATTTCTCTCCAGCACTTGGTGATTTTTAGATTGTTAATTAGGTCTAAGGATACCTTCTGATATGAGGAAAACCCAGGAAGGTTGAGTGACCGTTTATAATCAGGCATTTTATTTAATTTCTCTTCTAAAAGGAACTAGTGTCTTTGTTCCTGAATGTGAGTTTTATGGTGGTAAGCTTGGACCTGTTCCTACAGCTGATGCAACCTTTTAATTTTTTGGAAAGAACTAGTTATAGAATTTTCTCTAAAATAATCAGGAAGACTGTCAACACAGACTCTTTCTTATAGGCTTCCATTTAATAAAGCTACAAAATGTCTAAGTGATAATATTTACATGCTTTAATATATAAAGGGAAAATGTTTCTGCACAATTAGTAATTTCCTTAGAGCCTGACCACAGGTTATTTGTACAGGTTGAAAACTAATGATGACAGATACTGGAGATGAAAATGGGCTTCCTGTTACATTAAATTGTCTCCAGCCCTATACCTATCTGTAGACCTGTCCCAGCTTCACCCCTAATCCTGGGAAGGAGAAAAGAATAAAGTTCCAGGGAATAATTGGAGTGTTCTCTTGGGGATGAAGAAGTTGGGAAAAGAGTTTGATGATAAGCAACAAGTATGCAATTAGGCTTTATAATTTTCTTCAAAAGCCTTGATTTTTTTAGTTTAAAAAACCATATGTTCGTGGCATACAGTGAGAAATTTTTTAAAGGAGAGAATTTATACTGAAAGGAAATCCTATAAATATAACCAGTATGATTTTTTAATACAAAGTTTTTAAGCACTGACTATTCCTAGGCTTAGATTCATCCTGGAAACATATCCTACAGTTATGAGAAATGGACAAACACCTTCAAATGTCGGTACCTCATTTCTTATTAAACACAAAAGAGGTCACGCTGGGGAAAAATACTTTTAAATGGGATGATTGTGCCCCTAACTCAAATTTCTTAGAATGATTTTAAGTATTATCAGTGTTTCTCAAATGATTTAATTGAAATACTCCTAAGAGCAAAAAAGAATCAACATGTGCTCCTAGCAATCTGAAAAAAAAGACAATTGAAGATCCAAATGTGCTTGAAGCCTTTTGCTTTATCTTAAAAGTTCAGGTGAATTTTAAATTCAAGTCTATGCCAAATCGTGATGCTTTGTTGTTTTTTGTTTTCTAACATTTTTTAAAAAGAGCTTTAAGCTTTTTACCGTATGTCAATATCTGATGTTTCTGATATTGCTGGAAAATCTGCCCATTTACCCCAAACTCTGAGTACCCTGGCACATGGTGCTATATCAGACTGGAAAGAAACCACCTAAATGAAACAAATGCAAATTGTTCTCTTGTCATTCAGAATCTCCATGAGTATAGTAGAATAAAAGGAGATTTCACCTGCTCTGAAAGTGAACCATACATTTCATATTCTATTGTCATATTGTGGTATTTGTTTATCTATTTATGTATGTGTCTGCTATGGTTGGGAATTATTCAAGGGACACTGGCTTATCTTATTACCCTGAATTCTCAATACCAACACAATGCCTGACACAGGGCTATAATCAACACATATTTGCTAAATGAAGGAATGAATGAATATAATGCAAAGCAAAATCAGTATTCTTCATGGGTTAGAGATCTCAATCATTAGAGGAATGATAAAGCATCCCAGGTACTTAGACCTGAATATTTAATACCAGGCATAGCTAGGGAAAATTCAGGGCAAAGTTTTGCTTCCTGCAGATCAATTTCTTATAAAAACTACTGGTGATGATTACTCTCCACTTTGATAGTTACAATGGAGGGTGGGGGAATTTTCACTAGCTGTAACTCTTGCATTTTTCAAACCTGAAAATAGAAATCACATTTGAGAGTTAAATGATCTGGCAAGTGTGGGATTTATGGGAGACTTAATGTTTAACCAGATATTAGACCAACCCAAAAGGCTCAACTCTCCCCTTGTAGGACACCTATCAGGGATACTGCCAAGCTCATGGTGATTCCTCCTTTTTTATGGGAATGATGCTGCTTTTCATGTGTGAGGTCCTAGTGCCTGCACTGTGGTAAAATGTAGCTCCACCCCCATCTATAGCTCATTGGTCTAGGCGAATAGACATCTGACATATCTTAGGCCAATTTTATTCTTATTCCTGGGAATTCAAAACTTGGAAGTACAGGAAACATCACCGAAGCTAAGTTAAGGTAATGGTAGGTAGCATCCAAGAGAGAAAGTTTATTCTTCTCCACAGTCCTGAACCCCAGATCTTCCCTGGAGGCTATCTTTTCTGAAAACTTGCTTGTCAGCTTTTCCATTAATTTTCTGAGTCCTTTGTATACTTCCAACCAATCCCTGCTTTTTGCTTAAGGAGCCAGAGTCAATTTGTTACTTGCAACTAAAAAGCCTAACAACGTCATCACAGATGGTGGCCTCTAGGTCACTTACTCCGGACTATCAGCCTGGTGAAGGCCGAGGTGAAGAGGTTTCCTCCTATGTACCTGGCCGAGTACACTCCAGCATCCTGGGGCTGAGCATGAGGCAGATGCACTTCCAGAATATCAGGTACTTCATGCCGGGGCACTGAATGAATGAAGGAACCTGGTAAAGGAGAAAAGTAGAGAATAATGATTCACACTCGAACATTCTTGTTTCCTCATTAATCTGGCCCCTCCACTTGATCAGCTTTCCTTGATCTGATACAGCTAATGTGCTCTAGCATACTGAATGTGGGAGAAGAATGAAGAGGCTGAGCTACCCAATGCTGTCCCAATAGTCAAGAAAGTTATGGTGATAGAGTAGATAGTCTATTAGTCTATGGGATCTACCACCAAACACATGGAGGGAGGATAGGCTAAAGTTTTTATCTTACACAGAGGGAGGTGAACAGGCAAAACTGGGTGGGTAATGCTAGGTAACCCTGCCAGTGAATCCATTAACAAGGCATCTAGAATTACTACTCCAATCTGGAAATCTTATTCATCCAGAGAACTCGGAACAGTCCCCATCAATATTTCAGCTGGATTAGGCAATGGCCACCAAGTGGTGCCAAACCATAGTTGGACCAAGACAGATTTGGATTTCCCAGTTAAACCTCCAGAACTCCAACCAGTTGGCTTTCCAGGCTCACTTTGGTTATTTCCTTAACCTTGCAATCAAACAACCAAACATTTTATATATGGCAGTATTTGGGACGCACTTATCACATCATGATGGGGTTTTATTGTACATTCATAATTCACATTGCTCATTCATAAATGTACATACAATGTACATACATTCATATATGTGTATGGACCTCTACTTTAATTTACTTGATTAGGTAACCAAACACATTGCCTAAAAGAGCTTCTGTCATAGAATTTGATTAGCTTGCATCACAGCAGCTTTACTTCAGACATCCACCCCCAAGGATGCAATAAGATAATGACACAATACACTTTGTGCTATCTGATGTCTCACGCCATGGTGCTGGAAGGAAACAAAACACATACTCACCATTTTTGTAAATCACTGCATCTTCTTCTTTCATCAATACCTTTTTGAAAGAGATGTTCACATTATCTCCCCTGTCCACAGTCATAGTTAAAGTAGCTGGTAGGAAGGAAGCTTTAAAAAGAGAGAGAGAAAACAAATGAGAAAATGAGGTCATGTATTTTTTTCAAGGAGCAAGTGAACTCTGAACTTCAGAAGATGAAGGCTGGCACTTGGCAGGAGTTTTCATGATATTAAAAACAGTGGTAGCTAACAGGTTTTAAACTTTCTTAAGTTTACATAACTAAGAATCTGATCAAAGGAATGGTCATTTCCTCTGTTAAAATGTAAATATATACACATCAAATACATATAAACATTTTTCCACACAATCAGTTGGGGAGGTGAAGACTTCGTGTTGATTAATATCTATTACCAAACTAAGACCTGATATTAACTATAAACTGTATTAAGGATGAATCGGCCATCCTTCTCCAATTCCTACCAAGCTTCTTCAAAATATAATAGAAGAAGAATGGTCAGATATTTGCCAAATGGTTTTTCCCTTGGTCCTTTTGGGTTGTTACTCCAAATAATTCTCATTGCTTTAGAATGCCCCAGTCATTTCTCAAATTGAATTAGCACAAGGCTGCACTTATTAATGGTGTAAATATAGGAATAAGGTAGAGATGGGATCCAATATCTTGCCTTCTACCCTTTAGTTATCTGTATATTAACTGACACAGTCATGGGACTAGACAGTACTGAGAAGAAAGTAGAAAAGTTATTGCATATTTGGTTTACAATATCACTTAGAAACATCCATCTTTGCATTAGGCTTAGAACACAATATTGTCTTGGTTCCTAGGTTTATTGGACAAGACTTGTGAATGAAATCTTCTAACATTCTCCTAGCTACAACAGTTTGTGAATTACTTTAACTTACATAACATAATCTGTAGATAGTCACAACTACAAGAATAAGGGGATTTAACCTTAGGCTTGATTAAGATAAGCCAATTTTTAAAATTTCAGCTTTATTGAAGTATGATTGACATGTAAGTTTGCCCAACAGAAAAAAATGTGAAGAAAACCACTAAAAGAAGAGAAACAGAATATATAATTTTTCTAAATATGGAGGGCAAGAGAGAATGGAAGTAAACTGAAGACACAATTGAAGAAAAGAATTCCCAAAGAAAAATCATGGCATATAGAAAAGAAAATAAGATGGGAGAAATCATGCCAAATATATGGTAAAAGTCAGACATTTTCAGAATGAATTTTAAAAAATTATATAACCATGTGCTCTTTTCACAAGCTATACATTAACTGTAATGGCATACAAGATTGAGAATAAAGGGATAGAAAAATATATACTGCACTAATAATAACTATCATAAACTTACAATATTTATATTAGAAAAAATTATTCTAAAATCAAAACATTTTCAGGATAAAAATGGTCTTTACATGATGATAAAAAGGAACCACCTACCAGGTAGATTAAATAATCCTGAGCTTGTATCCTTCCCAAACATAAATAAATGGTAACACTGCTGAGCTGACATTTGTAATATGGACTTGAGTGGCAGCTTTCTCAACAGGACTGAAATGGGCCGACCACGTAGGGATGGCGGGCAGGGGACTGGGGGTGGGGAACGTTGGTGGGTTCCCTCTCATACCTGCAAGGTGCTTCAGTTAGCAATCTAATGTGTGCAGTTCTTGCTCTTTGTGATATGTTCTTGGGCTCCTGTGAGAATTTTTTCTGACCATTTCATGTGGTTGTTCCTTTCTATGTAGTTTGTTTATATTTTCTGCCTCTTTGTGTAAAGATTGTTTAACTGACCGTGGGACTTCATTCAGTATTGTATTCTGAAAAGGAACCAAGATTCTCCACTAGGCTCAACCCCAATATAGCTTTCCTTTTTCCCCACTCTGTGGCTCTTTATTATTTCAGACTTTTAAGCTCCCTGTTTTCTTAGGTAGGAACAAAGTCACACCAGAGTTCCATTGCTCTCTAGCCTATCACTCCCTGCATTAACGTCTCTAGGTTGATTGTTCTCTGCTGAGTAATAATGAAGGGGTCCACAACCTTCATGTTGCACTCTGGGCATCTTAATGACACAGGAGTCCAGATTCTACATGGTACATAGATTGTTGTCATGTGACTTTACTGGATCATGAAAACAATAAGCACCTTTTAAAAGTGTCCACTACTACAAGGCATTGTCCTGAAGACTTTACACATATTTAATTTTCATAGCATGTCTCTAAGATAGGTACTACAATTATCCTAATTTTACAAATAAGGAGACTAAGGTAGAGGGAAGTTATATACCCTGTCCACGATCAAACAGCTAATTCATAGGAGAGCCAGCATTAGAACTAGGTAACTCAACTTCAGAGCCTTTCATAGATAATATAATGCTAGCACTCAAAAGACTTTAAAATCCGACCACTTCATTTCATAAATGAGATCGCTGAGGCCTAAGTTGGAAGATGACTTGCTCAAGATTATTGGGATGAGCTAATTAATTGACAGACCTTAACTAAGAACATAATTTACTTATTCCTTAAGGGTTGAAGAAGAAAATAATGGTAGTAAAAGTTATAAACAAAGGTGTTTCTCATGGATGAAAAATAATTAAGCAAAATTTCAGTTGTTTCCTTTACTTTAATGATAGTTAAGGACTAAGAGTAAGAAGAAGAATAATATAGTTTTATGTCCATCACTATTTCATATAACTTCACAAAAGCCCTGCGAAAACAGCATATTCATAGTGTAGCAATGTGGGAGATGAAGTTAAGTCTCTTACTCAAGGCCTAACTCTACGTGTAAAAGTTGAGACACACATTCAAGGCCTGCACATGTGTTCCACAACACCAGCTCTTTAGACTCATCATACTCCAGGCCTGCAACCTTAGCTCTCAGTTCCAGCCATTCTGAACTATGTTGGGTTCTTCAAATAGACCATGTAATCACTCACGTCTAAGTCTAGAACTTCCTCCTTTCTCTTGTTTCCTCTTTTCCCTTAGTCTTACCCGCTCCAATTCAATAATCTGCATTTATATGGATGTCACTTTCTCCAGGGCCTTACACACCCCTGGAATCCAGGTTAAGTACCATCATAGCTGTACTTCCCCATTACAGCCCCATTCCTAGTGCATTTCCCCTGCTAGACTGAGCATTCCAGGAGAGGAAGTTCACATCTGTTTTGGAAGGCAACACAGGGTGGTGGGTAGACCCTGGTCTCTGGGATCAGCCTGTGTTAACCTTCCCAGGGCTAAACTGGGACACAGGTGTGCAATTGTACCTAAATTACAGTAGCTACAAGTCTCATCTGTTAATATGGGGTCATAGTAGTTCTCACCATATACACATTTGGTAAAATCCGAATTATACGGAAATGTATATGAAGTTGCTAGGAGAATATCAGATACGTAATAAGTATTCAGGAAATTTTAACACCATCACATCTCCCCTGTGTGGCACAAAATAGAGTCTTAAGAATCCTTGTGGGATGAAAGAATAAATGAATGAATCCGATTTCAAAGTTTCCTATTTTCTTTATGCTTTTAACATGTTCATTTGTGTTATTTAGATAAAAATGGCTCCTCTCTCTCAAATTCACAAATCAAGTGTGAGAAATTTGATGTTTTTAAAGTAAAGCTATTTCTCAAACAAAAATAGGAAAAAAAAAGAACCTACATTTTGTATGATAGAACACTCTGAAACAGATCTTTGGATGTGAAAATGTTTCAAACTTCATTTATACCTCCCTGCCCCCAAACAAAATCTCCAGTGAGGTTTGAGCGAACTGCTTTTGACTTTTTTGGATGATGCCATTGATAAAAACAGTTTGGCCATTTGGAGTGAGCGAGCCAGTTTAAGCCGTGTTTTGGCACATCTCAAATGGATTTTCCACTTCCACCCCAGATGCATGGGTCAGCAGCAAGCAGGAATATACTGATGTTTATCCTATTCTCTATGTCTCTGAGCAGGCACTTCTGAGTTCCCATGATGTTTTACTAGGGAATTAATAGTGTCACAGACAGTGTTTTGGGAGTTTTCCTGATTCACTATAAAGCATATCACTTTCTTTGCATTGTATTTCAGCCATTGGATGGTCAGCAAAAGAAACAGAATTAGTTCAACAGCCTGAGATGTTATTATTAAGATATAGGAAACTACTACCTATTTTCCTGTTTTATATAAATTCCTACAATTTAGTTAATAGATTGCATTAAAATTTTCCACAGTCGAGTAGGAAAATTAATAGTCCCACTAAATTATTGCTTATTCCAAGGTACTTCAATGGTAATGATTAAACATTTACTGTGAGCCAGATAATGTTGGTGATCTCAATTGATTCTCAAATGTATGTGGTAAAATCTCTATCCTCATTTTTTTTTTTTCAAATGAGGAAACTACGATTTTAATTAAGTAACTTGCCCTGGGTCGTAGAGCTAGGCTCAAACCCACATCTGGCTGACTTCTACGCCCACGCCTCTACTCTGTGCCCTGGCTTACTTTGTAGGGTTTCAGTTGGAGTCATTGTACTTTATAAAACAAGTGCTCAGAATGAGGGTGGGAGGTTAACATTAAAAGTGATATGCCAAGGGTAATGCAGTGGTCAGAAATACCAGCTCTGAAGTCAGATGCTTGGCATCAAATTGCATACCCACCATATACACACTGCTATTGTTATTATAATGTAACTTATTCTGCAATGTCTCACTTTACACAAGATTTTTAGGAACATATCTGTTCTGTAAATCAAATCTTACTTTAAATGCAGTCATGGGAACTGGCTCTTACATACACCATCTTATTTAAAATGTAAGACGATTTTGAAGATATTATTATACCCATTTCACAGATGATGAAAAATGAGACCAACAGAAGTTAAATAACTTGTCTAAGGCCACATGGATGATAAGTAATGAAGAAAGAATTAAAACTCAGGTGAATATGAATCTAAAAGCCATCTTTTCTCAACTGTTTCTCGCTATTTGAAGCCTGCCATTGCTTCATTTAACTGAATTTACTCCATCCTTTATCTGTGCTGACCTGGACTCTCAGTTCAGGGGGATCATTACAGTTGGTTTTGACTCCCATTGTTCTGGTGTAATATGCTCTACAGGTTCTTATTTATACCTTGTCCAGGACGATGCTAGGACAGGCCAGGAGCGGCACTTCACATTTCATTCCTGTGAAACCATTGGGGCACAAATCTCAGATCGTCTTCATTCAGAATATGGAAATATCAGCAGGACATAATTTTTTATATAAGTCAAATCCCAAATGACACATGTGAAACATAATAGAGGTGACTTTCAGCCATGATAGCTTTGGCACACCTCACATCCTTTTGTTCAACCTCTCTTCCCTCACCAGAGAGCTGCATTCCTGGGAATGTCTATTGTGCACTTTTCCCACTCACCCTGGTGTCATTTAAACGGGAACATTACAGTTTTGCTAAGAAAACCTTTTCCTTCATTTGTAATGAATAGTGATTTTATCACTTTTGACCTTAAAATGAGTTTTCTGCCTTCAAATCTTTTAATTACCACCATTAGCAAATTCAAAGAAATACTTTCAGGTGGATCCCAGTTAGGGTTCTACTAAACCCTTGGTCCCCTCATGAGTATCTTATCACCTGGGACGTTGTTAGAAATGCAGAATGTCAGGACCCTCTCTCCAGGAGCTACTGAATCAGTCTGCATTTTAACATGACCTGCAGGTGATATCAGCACTTTCAACTTTGACAAGCGCTGATATAAAAAAATTGCAGATTCCTAGATAAGAAACAGCCTATCAGTGAAATATACAGAGATGTATTATTTGCTTGGATCAATGTTATAATTAAAAGTCAAACCTTAAAGGACTCACAATGTCATTATCTCCTGAAATGACACATTCTCAGTCCACAGGTGACACATTCTCAGTCCATAGGCCCCTGTGGTTATAATAGTCATTTGGAAAGGACTATTTCATTTTAGGTATGACCAGCTCAGAGAAAAGGGCTGATGGATGAGGGGCCAGATCATTCCAGTCAGAACAAGGAGAGATCTCTGCTGGAATTCTATACCTTCCTCCCAGAGACAGCATCCTGAACCCCAGCAGTGTACCTGCCTGTCCAGGCCTGGGAGCCTTAGGACAAAACAGAATCATTAAGTAATGTTCATGACATCGTCTCCTCCAACTGCCAACAGTTTGGCGAACAGGCCTAAAGTTTAGGACTCACTTCCATTTTGGGAGAAAATCTCTATCACATCACTTCTATGAGGTGGTAGCAAAGAGTAATACTCTTCCCTTACAGAAGGCTCTCAATATCCTTCTTCTGGTGTTCTGTGAGCTGGGCCTGGGTACTTGACTACTAAACTTAAATCCTGATCTCTTTTTGAGAATAGCAGCCTGCAAAAAGGGCCCCGATTCATCATTCCTCCTTGTATCCATACTTTTTGCCATTTAACTGGGTATTGCCCTCCCATTCTGTTCTAGGCTCAGCTACGTGACTTGCTTTGGGCAATACAATGAGGGGAAAGTGAGGGTGAACAATACTGAGACTAGGTTTCAAGAAACCTCATGTGTTTCCATTTGTTCTCTCACACTTCTAGCATCTCCATGAGACCATACCTAGGTTAGCCTGCTAAAGGATAACATGTACAAGGGGCACAGCCAAGTTGGCCCATCAAGGCCAGCCAGTTAAATCTGTAGCCAACCAATATCCATACACATAAGAAAGCCCAGTCAAGATTTGCAGAGCCACACAGTCAGTGCAGCTGACTTAGCCTCACAAGCAGTAAATGCTTATTGTTGCATGTCACTGTGGTCTGTGGTTGTGTGTTATACAGCATTCTTGTGGCAGTAGGTAACTGACACACCAATAATCAATTAAGTTGAGCTTCTCATAGATGTTTCCCTTTTTAATTTTTTTTATATCTACCATATTTTTTCCCTGAAAACATTAACTTTTGTTAAGAATGCTCAGGGGCACAAAAGAAATAAAGAATCAGATTTAAAAAGTCAAGAAGAAAGCTCAAAATTGCCAAAAATTTGGCAATGCACAGTTATCTTCATTGCTATGATTTTCATATTACATACATGCAACATGTTCATGTCTCCATAAGGGCCATGGAGCCCTTAGTAGAACATATATTTCATTTCACCTTATACTAGGCATAATGTCTAGGGAAGGAGTTAAATGTGAGGGAGTTGAAATAGATGGTCTCTTTTATCTCTAATGCTGTGTACTAGAGACAGCAATGCTTGGAAAGAGCAGATAAAGTCTTCAAGCTCCATATTCAGGCAGCTCATGCCCAGCCTCCAAGTGAGCAAATGACAAAACAAAGTGGGGTGTGTGTCTCTGTGGACCTCGCCTGCCCACAGCTAAGGGGCATGTTACCTTGTTGGCGCATTTTCATGGTCCGTATCCTTATTGCCTCTCCTCGAACTCGCCCTTCACAGAAATAAGCACCATTGATTTTACTAGCTTTTTCTCTCTTCCAAACGACTTTTTTAGCCCATTCTCTAGTCACATCTTGAGTAACTTCCAGTGGGTCCTGGTGCTGATTCATTAAGGCTTCAAAGTCTCTTCCTATGATAATGGGCTCATTGGGGCGCCATCCAGAGGCAATACAGGTGAGGGATGTTTCAGCATCAGACACAAGAGGTAGGGAATTGATCAAGATCAGGTCCATGGCACCATCCACTGTTCCTAAAAGGGAAGAGGGAGCATAATGTAAAAGGAAGGTTATTAACATGGCCCCATGGAATAAACTGGTGCTTACAAAGCCTTGTCTAAAAATAGCTGTGTGAGCAGTCTTTCTGAAATGCTACTCTGATCAAGTGCCTATCATCCATAGTAAAGATCCAAAACTCTTACCATGGTATCGCCTACAAATCCACTCCTCCCGTACTGCACACCCTATCTGCAATGGACTATCAGTTACTTTCCATCTCCACAAACAAGCTGTGCATTATATATCCCTACCCACTATAGTGCCTGAGTTAGGTATTCAGTAAAGGCTTGTTGAGTTAAATTTATGATAATGGCATTTTTGTCATTATTAATTATAATTATTTTCATTAATTATCAATCAATTAATGATAATGTGTTATTGCCACAATAATTAAATATTCTAAAGACATATATCAACTATATATACACTGTATGTTAAGACTATCATCATTGCCCAATTCCATATTAAATTTCACAAAATAATATAAGGACTAAACGAAGTCTGCATTTCCCTCTGAGCTTCATTTGCACCATCTGTAAAACAAGGCTAATAAGACCTATCTTGCAGGATTTATTGTGAAGATTAAATGAGATAAAGTACATAACTTGCCAAGCATTGTATTTGCTCTATATGGAGTATACAATGACCATTATTTCGGTTTTATTTATTCTGTTTCCTGAACACCTAGGCCCAAACCTCAGCCCTCTTTAAATGTAAAAACAAAATCCTATCTGACTTTTAAAATTTATTCCATAAATTATGAAGCACATTTTTAAAAGAAAATCCTTTCATTTCATGTTCTCTCTCCCTCCCTGTTTTGATTTCTGGTTTCTAAGACGAACAAATGGGCCTATTCTATGTTCTGTGCCTAGTCTATCCTCTTGTTGAATGTGAAAATATCAAGGATGAAGGATGTTCTTTGGTTCCAGTGATGGTTGATTCTAAGGTCTATATAAAATGATTAGGGGAATAGATAAGTCAAACACATTGGGTCATGTGAATCAGCTGGGGTCTCGCAGACCTTTGTATAGATGTAAAGTGATTCAAGTAAGCTGCATGTTCTCTCATTAAATATCCATTAAATTTTCTCAACAACACTGCAAGGTATGCACTATTATTTTATTTTTAAATATGAAGATATGAAGTCTCAAAAGATTGAGTAGCTTATTCTATCTTCCACAGGTGTTGAAGCCAGAGCTGGAATTCAAATTCTCACTTGCCTTTCAATAACTTGGATACATCAGGCCCTTTCCTACCCCAGCATCTTTATTCATGTTGATCCCTGTGCCTGGAATGCTATTTGCCACTCTTTGCATGGCTAACTTCTGCTCATCCTTTGGATCTCAGCTTAAATGCCTTTCTCATAGACAGTTTCTCTACCTATCTTAATATCTACACATTCTCATCCCATTATCCTCTAATTCAGCTTCCTGTTGTTTCATAAAGATTACCATAATCAATGATTAATTTATTACTCTCTTCCACTAGATGGTAAATCCCATGAGGATGAAGATTGAAGATGATTTGTTTATAGTCTTTATATAGGGATATTCTGCCTAGTCTCAGCATATAGAGAACTTAGTAAGTATTGGATGGATGGATGGATGGATGGATGGATGGATGGATGGATGGATGGATGGGTAGGTGGATGGGTGGGTGGATGGATGGATGGACAGACAGACAACAGACGGATAGATGGACAGACAGATGGGCAAATTTTATTCCAGATCTATCTGATACAAGTCCATTATTTACTTGGCTTCCACTTCCCAAATAGTGAGGTTAAAAGTGAAAGTACTCTCCTGAGTCTAAATTGACTTTCTCGTCCATATTTAAAAGACTATTTTAACAATTACTAAGTTTATAGGGAAAAAAGCAAATGTTACAGTTTTTACATAATGCCTTAGAAACGTGATCAGGTGCTGTTGAGCATTTGAGGCTTACTGGTACTCATTTTCCAGACCTTTGAGTAACTACTTATGCCAAGCACTGTGCCTGCCATGAAGTCCTCGATTTGTTTTTAATGGCAACTGCCAATGTCTGATGTTTAAGGCGAAGTTTTGAAGATGTTACAACTAGGAGTTATATTTTTATCTGATTACTTAGAAAGAATTTCAATGTCAAATCTTAATACAAGTGAAAGTTAGAGTTGCATTTTTTCTCATAATGTTAACTCAATGCATGGGATTGAGGGAGAAAATCTTGACTAGATAGGTTTCCAAGCCTGACTCTGAAGCATCTACCTTGCTTCTAGACTCAATGGTAACTTTAAGATTGCAAAAGAAAGGACATAGGTTCCAGTAAGAAAAATTTTCCAATAGAAGATGAGCTAGGACACCGAGCAGTAAAATTATAGCCTCTAAAAATAACACCAGAGCACAGCTTCCCTTCCATATGCCTATCCAGTCTTGCCTCTGAGTGAACACCTCGTCATCTCTTACACTCACTCATTCCAGGCATGCTCCCAGAAAGTCATTAATTCTTTCAGCTCTGGTTCCATCCAGCCTCATTTCTAGGGCAGGTCGAGTGACTTGCCAAAACCAAGGGATCTGCTCTGAACTCACTGAACTATGCTGACACTGACCATGGTTTATTTAATGACTTTAGGAAATAATAGAAAAAGCAGTTCATTTGAAAAGACAATCACATTTCATCTGTAAATCATTTCTAGATATTGATCTGGATTCTTTTTCCTTTTGCTTCTCCCAGTTTTCTCCCTTGATTTTCAGTAACAGAAAGGGAAATCGTGTACCCAAGAATCTAGACTTGACAACACTTTGCTACTCTTATTTATCATGCCAGTTATAAGAAGCTTTCTTCCTCCAGTGAGTCCTCCGTCCTATTTGTAAAGCCATTTACAATAAAATATCAGAAGGATTTTGTATATGAGCTTTAGATATGAGAAAAAAAATACCTACCAGATTCCTGGGGCAGATCTTAAAAATCATCTACTTAGTTTTCCTAAAATAAGAATCCATGTTTGTTTGAATTTTTGGAAGGTGAAACATGAAACTAAGAACAAGGATGACCCATTAGGAAAGAACTAGGTAGTTGGGAGACAATCATATGAAGAAGGCTTTTTATTGTACACTTATGTGTGCTGGCTTTTGAACCACTTGAATATTACCTACGCATAAAAATTAAATGTAAAAAAGTAAATGTGTTATTGAAGATGATTTGTTTACAGTCTTTATATAGGGAACATAAAAATTAAATGTAAAAAAGTAAATGTGTTCTTACCCTTCCTTTGGAAGGGAATCAAGAGCCACAAAAATATAAATGTCTCTCATCATTTATTCCTACATCCACTCCAAATCTCCTTGGATTGCACCCAAATAATGTATTTTCTCTATCTTCTTTGGACTAATAATAGGAAATGTGATATCATTCCACAATGTGGGAGGAAAAAAAACATGGGTTAAAATAAAATTTAAGAAAAGGGAAAAGAAGGGTGGCTAAACATAGCTTTTAAAGAAAATAGAGGAGCAGAGACCCTACTGCAATGGATATCGTGGCTTGTGGCCTATGGCTTCTTAAGAGTTCTGCTATTGACACTATGAAAGATATGATTGCAATCGCATGGCCAGTGCCACACAAGGAATCGCTATTAGGGACATCTTCCTAAGAATAATTGCCAAAAGATAGATCCCATCTGGGCTCACATCTATATCAGTCCCTGTGCCTAACACCTTTTCCTATATTATAGCACTATCCCCTCTAGTTTATGTTGGGGACTGGTGTTGAGCTGTTTCATTACAACCATAGTCTGAGGGTTCTGATCAAATTCATTATTAGTTCAATTTATACTTCTATGATCAAGGCTAAGAGTTTGCTATAAGTAAAAGTAAGATGCATAATTTTATATATCTTATATATGTTTTAGAGATTGATGCTATTTTTCCTTGATAAAGATCTTGCAAACACTTTTAAATATTTCCATAAAATGTGTCTTATTCACAAGGAAATACTTGCCATAATGGCATAGCATCTGGCAAGTTAACAAATGATTGTTCTTAATAATTGAAGCATAACAATAACCTAAAATATTTTGTTCATTATATTTTTGTGTGCTATACTGAAAAGTATCTAATTTTTATAGTAACATAAAAATTCTCACTAAATTGCATTGTGATACACTCAAAATGTTGTTTAAATCTTGTTTTTGCATTTAGATTTTCTTGTATTCATTGTTGCCTTGAATAATGGCCCATTAAGACATGAACATATTTTTCTTTAAAAATAGTCATCGAAATAGTTGTAGACCTAAATCAACACCCATATAATGAACTAAATTGAATTAGAAATTAGAGACAGCTGTGTTTTTCAAACTGCTTCAAGGAGTTATTTCTCATTTTCTAAAAAGTTTCTGAGAATGGTGGAGGTTAAGTCAATAGAGTGAATTCCAGACACCCACACACACACATACACTCTCACCAAGCTGTTCAACTTTCATCTGATTTTTACATTTGGGCTTCATGTAGTTTTCATTTGGGGGAAAAAAATGATTTTGCTTAAATAAAAACATATAAAACCTCAAAGTCATCGCTTTTAACTATCTTCTTTTTACAGAGAAAAAAATGAAAGGTTAAATATGAATATCAATGAAAATACATTTCACTGCAGCACGATATGCTTATTCCAATGAGTCTTCTATCCCTCTCTTCCCACATTCACGTTTGGCACTGCTGCAGATAGAGCTCCCTGTCCTTTGAACTGTGGGTGGGCTTAGAGCAAAAAGCAGGTCAAATTATTGCGTAGTGAGGCTATTTCATTGTGCTTCTTATTAACTCAGAATTGTAGTGTTGGGTGGAGTTTCACTGATATGTATTTGGAAGAAGGTATTATGTCTTCATAACAACTGTCTGTACGGTTTCTTGGAAGTCTGGTATTGACTTAAAATTTTTTCAAAGTGTTCTTGATCAAATATCTCACTTTTATAACAGCAGTAGATATCTTTAAGTTCTAAATATTTAAA